CCCCCAATATTCGGCATAATAAATAAATAAATAAATAAATAGTCCACTCCAACGTGCAGAGTGTTGATGATACAAAATAAACGTAGGAGTACACTCGAACAGAAAAAGACAGTGCAACACTCTGAAACTAATCGCTCCTCGCTTGCATTCACTGGTTTATTGGAGCAATTGTAAAGTTTTGAAACTCTATTATCTTCTCTAAATAGAGTTTGCAGTGCCTTGTCATGCGAATAGCTTGCACGCAAGGAACGTTTGCAATTTTTACCAACACTATTTTTAGTTTTTAATTCTTTTAGCAAATTGACTTGCCTAGATTTAATCTTTACGCCCCAAATATTATTTACATGAGTTGCATCATAAATTGTACTCGGATTCAAACAACACAATGTCAATGACTTTATAAAAGTAAAAGCATATTGTGTATTGGCCTATTGGGTTTACACTTTTACAGGTTCAATTAACTTTAAGTCTTTAACTCTCTCAAGTCTCAACAGACAATCGCACATGCCAAATCCATTGATATGACAAATTGACAACTTCAAAAAACTTATTTTCGAAGCTATAAATCATAATTTTTTTTCAAATTTTTCCTGGGATACTTTGTTTTCTGCTCTCTAGACTCCCCCTTGCGGCTCTGGTGCTCCACCCCTAGAATATAGACCTTACTGGGGTTTGGTGACACTTTGTGTTGCTTCAGTCACCTGCTCACGGCTCACCCCCCTAAAATTTCTGGCACCACCCCAGTAATAAATATGAAAATCCATCTATGGTGAATACATGACTAGTCACTAGTGATTAATTTGCTTTCTTAAATCATTGCTAAACACCACAAGTTTAGTAATTGTTTAATATATTTCAAAGCTGTTGTAAAAGCTATTATAATAGAGTTGTAAAATCAAAAACGTCGCTAGCGGTTTGACAAGGCTCATTGACAAGGAAAACGTGTCAATTTTTGCCATACACACGAGCGAATGAAACTTGTCAATGACAAATTGCTCATCTGTACACGTACGAGGCTTTACGTCCCTGTATTGTAGTGGAAAACGATTTCTTTTCACTTTAGAAAGCTCCGGATGAAACTGCAATTCAGAAAGCTTTGGTATGCTCTGGCAAAGGCAATAAAAGGTTTGTGTTTCAGTGATTCAACCCTTGTAATAATATACTGTATAATTCCGCCACATTTTTACCATTAGAGCTAGAGGTTCAGATTTGATCTCCAGTACTGCTCCTTTAACATGCATAAAACAGTCATCTGTGTGATAAATTAAAGTGGTTTTTAAAAACAACCCTTTTGTACTCGAAAATTTACTTTTCAAAATAATTTTAGTGGTAAAGATAGTTTACGATACTACACACGCAAAAACGCACAAGTTGTTACAAGTCTGCAAACAAGTTGTTACAAATCTGTTTAACAATTTGTAACAAGCTTGATGGCATTATCAGACTTGTTACAAGGTTGTTCTAACAAGTCTGATACAGTCATGACAAACAAGAATGTTACAAGGTTGACGACACACAAGGTTGTAACAATACTGCTGTATCATGACTGTATCGGACTTCAGGACTTGTTGGAACAACCTTGTAACAAGCCTTATAATATCAACAAGGTTGTTACGAATTGTTAACAGCTTGTTCTAAACTTGTTTACAACTTGTGACAAGCAGTGCGAAGACAACTTGTTGACGGCTTGTTGACAAACTTGTTACAAGATGTGAAATTTTTGCTTGTGTAGCAGATCCCAAATTACTGTACCCACGCTTAAACAAAGTTTTCACAAATTTTGCGGAATTTGCAGTTTAGCGAACATTTTGTGCAGTTTTTTTTATTCACCATGTAGTATACCCGTTGAAATTACTAGGTCTTTAATACTACCGTTTCATGTGCACCCAACTCTAGAAAACAATCGATGCCTGCGAAATTAAAGAAAATTCCAAGACTTGACACTTCCGTGAGTACTGAATTAGATAAACATGCTGATAATATTCCTAGAAACTCAAGTCAATCTGTAAGTACAGAATCTAAGAATTTATTACCCGATACTGAGTCAGCCAGTCTTGGCCCTAACACTGATAGTTATGATAATGTTACAATCGATAATGGGGCTGTCGATAATGGGCTAATCGATGAAATCGATGATGCGTCTACCGATACAATCGATGAGGCAACCGATCAATCGATAATGGTCTCGGATTCTGAAAGAGTTTTACCAGAAACGCAAAATGCATATCCGATACCGTCTAAAAATTTCCTAACTGAGTTTGCTGCAGAAAGCCGTACTACATCTGAACAACCTAAAATCGTTTCTGCCGAAAATCAGACAATTGACTCTGGGGCTGCCTCGACTGAAATTTCAAAAAAGTTAGAATCGCCCATGACGGAAGATTCGAACATGGACATTTCTGAGAAGTCGGATAATACATTCGTTACATCACATCCGAAGAATATTCCTGATAGTACTGTTAACACTGTATCGACAAATTCTGGAAACCAGATTGAAAATCAGAGAACTGTTAATTCCGATGATAGTTCAGATTCTGAGAAAACTCCGCCAGAAATTTCCAGAACTGTAAATACATCAGCAGTTCTTGGAAATTGCTCAAATACTGGAAACGTGGACACTTCGCTGAAATTGCCGTCAACGACGACGAATTCGGCGGAAAATTTAACAAGAACATCTACAACAGATTCCGGTACTTTGAAATCACATTCTGAAAGTTTCTCAGCGAACAGTCAGCAAGCTACTCTTACATCGACTGACAATAACAACAATCTTGGAAAATTGGAATATCTGGTACCTTTGAACGCACAAAAATATTTCTCCGAAACGTCAGGGAAGTATTCACCGTTTACTTCGGGGAAATATATGAGCGAGCTATCACAAACCGGAAATTCAAATTTTCAGAAATATGTAAGTGAAATTCCGAAAAATGCACCTACCTTATCGTTGAGTACAGAACTTCAGAAACTTAATCCCGGAATTCCTAGAACCATATCAACGTGTACGGATTCAGAATTTCCTAGTCAAGAGGGTCCAAAAAGTTTTGAAGAATCTGTAAACTCGACGTTTCTGAAGTATTTTCCCGAAATTCCAAAGAGGTCGTTTAATTCGCCGTTCTCAGCAGAATCTGGGAAATACTTCCGTGACATTCCTAGAACGGCCTGTTCGTCCGTTAATTCAGATTCCGAGAAGTACATTCAGGATCCGGGAAATCAAGCTTTGGTGTACCCGGATGAAAAAAACTTCTCCGAGCAAAAAAAAGTTTCTTCGATCGATTTCCTTAGTTCGATGGTCGAAAATATCGGAAAGTCGTCGGTTGAATGAAGAATATTTTCGAGTCATATGTTGGATGAAGCTATTTTTCCACTTATTTGATGGGAAATATCATAAAATCATGACTTTTGTGGGAAATAAGAGAATATTTTCGAGTCATCTGTTGGTTGGATGAAGCAATATATCATAAAATATTTTTGTTTCAAAGTTCTTTTTGTTCAATAGTTCGACTTTATGGTACGAAAATATAATTAAAAGCACTGTTCAGCCTTTTGATTGATGGTTTTTAAGGCGCATCTCAGCCCTTTTAATTGAAAAAACTAACTAGGAAAATCAGTTATGCATAATTCAAGATCAGTAAACTCAAATGTTTTCAACAATAAAAATGTTTTAAAATGTTAAAAACATTAAGTTTGCTGATCTTGAATTATGCTTAATTGATTTTCCTAGTTAGTTTTTTCAATGGACCTTTCCCCTTATAACTAAAATTTTGATCTAGACAAAAATTTCATCACAGTTTGAAAGAGCATCACAAAATTAGTAATATTCCAAAGTTTCGTTGCGAAATGTTGTAAAATGCGGATAGTATAGCCTTGCGAAGTTTGCCGTTTTTCAG